TCAGAATAATGTGCCTGCCTAAGGCCTTTCAGTCAACAGTTTCTGTTGCAGTACTTTTTATCTCCTATATCATGCCAGAGTCTGGTTAATTAAAATAGCTATAGTTTTAACATGACTTAAATCTGGACAACGCTGCTTAAAAATAAATAGTTTTCTTTTAAAGAAATTAATCTTTCTGGCACAAGAACATCTAGACAGCCCTTTCTTGCGCTATGGTGCCCTTCAGATAAGCTGAATATAGTTTCAAGCATCCTGGAAGCCATTTGGTTAAGAACCAGATCTAAAAAATAAAACTGTTGTTCTACTGCAGAATAATGATTCCCTTTCTCTCAACCTTCAGAAAATAACTTAAATCTCTGTTTCAACTTGTTTCTATGAAGTTTATAGTATTTATGAATGTATCCTAAACCCAATAAATTTCACTACAGTTTTCTTGCTGCTGGGTTTTGTTTTTCTATTGTTGTTTGCTTGATCATCCCGTTTGAAGGGAAAACTGGGGTTACAAAATAAAGACTTTTTTTTTTACGAAAACAAAATCCTGAAAATATATACAACTCTGGAGGACTTACCTTATATTCGGTTTTATCGATGCCTATTAGGAAAATAAATTCGGCAATGAGGAGGTTAATGCAAAGGTTCTTGTGAATTGTGTTCCGATCACTTTGAAGGCCACGGAAGAAACAGAAAGTAAAGATGCAAATTGCCAGGCAGACGAGGGAGATGACAATTCCTACCCAGGTGATGACAGTGAGGAGTAAGCCATGCATTCCATTGTCGTACTGGAAGTAATGAAGTTGAAGGAAAATTAGTGTCATTACTGACTAATGGGCAAGTAAAATATCAGGTTCACATCTAACACCAAGGACTCAGGATTCTGTTTTATGCAACAGTTTATAGCTGGTAAAGAGATAGATTTGTTTTTCATTGGAAGTGCAAATTTGCACTGACAACAAAGAGAGAGGTGAGGTAGCCCAACCTATCTGTTGGTTTGTCCGTAAAATAACTTGTAATCTGTTCATTATGAAATAACTGGTAACAGTGATGCTAAAATAAACAATATAAATATTAAACTGAAAAGACACATTTTGGGAAATTGTTCTGTTGAGTGTATAAAGAGAACATTGTTTATCATACCAAAGGAGGTTGCAGTACAATGGAATTCTTTATTAAAATGTACTATCCTTAAATAAAATAAATACATATTTTAAACATTCCAGTTAAGTAAAAGATATTTCTGGTTGGGTCTGCACATCACATCACAAGAAGCCATTATGGTTTATAATTGATGTGAAGGTAGTTTTAGTGCTTTGCAAACAATAGTTTGTGACTTAAGGTTGTATAGGTATGCATTCAGTATTAGTTTAGGCAATAAATGATGGTTTCAAAATTGTTGCTTATTTATCACCAAACCTAATCAATCAAAGAAGAGCAATATTTTACTGTTGTCTTCACAGTAGTATCTGGCAGGGGATGAAAAATCAGCCTGATGGCCTCCAATACGTGGGATAACACGAAGGTTAGTTCTCTCTCTCTCTCTTGTTCTTTAATGTTTACATAAAGTATGATATAATTACGATGTTCATGATAACAAATTTCACATTGCCACCCCAGGTTTTAAGGGAAATGCTGTTGGTTTCATATTCTGGGACCTGCAGGTTATAATAGCTTGGATGAAAGAGAATAGACTGAAGCTGAATCCGAGTTAACATTTGTACATCAGAGTTCTCTGTTAATCTCTATCTCTTGATGGGCAGACACTATCCATGAAGGAGAAGATTTGGGATCTGGAGTCTTTCTGGGTTCATAACTTATTCTGGAACAATAGGTGGCGGTAATGGAAAGGGGTCTTTGCCCAACTTTGGCTGGTGTACCAGTTGCATTCCTAAGAGGACCTAGATCAGGGATCAGCAACCCGCCGCTCTGGAGCCACATGTAGCTCTTTCAACCCTCTGCTGTGGCTCCCTGTTGCTGGTCGGCTCCACAATTGATAGGGCTTTCGGTTAGGAAAGGCAGAGGAAAAAGGACGCCATGCTCTATCGTGGAGGAACCAGACTTCTGGTCACCAGAGTAAAAAGGACACCGTGCTAGGAGACTATAATGGGGGAAGCAGACTTCCGGTCAGCTCCAGTTTTGAATGGGGGCTTCTGGTTAGGACCTTTGTGGCTCTTTGAGTGTTTAAGGTTGCTGATCCCTGACCTAGATACAATAACTCATCCGATTATCATCCAGGGTTTTACATGGGGCTGTCCTTAAAGGCAACTTGAAATACATTGGCTTGTAAGCTTACTGGTTCCTGGTGTGGAGGCAAAATCAACAATTCTGGAGGGTATACACCGGTTACAACTACAGGTTAAGGTGCTATACTTAATAGCAAAAAGGGCCCAAGTATTTGCAGGACCACCAGTTTGAAGCAGAATCAGGCCTGACCCACTAGATCAGGAGTGTCAAACTAGCGGCCCGCAGTACGGATATGTCATGCACTGGCCAAGCCCATCCCCCATTTTAGCAAAGGGGACAAAATTTGTGATACGTCACATGACGATATGTCATTGCGAGTTGGACACCCCTGAAATTGATCAAGCTTAAGCAAGCTGTAGAAGGGAAAGGGCTGTCCTGATAAAAGTAATTTGGGTCACAAAGGAATAGTTATTGTGCCAATTAGCTTGATTGCACAGGGCTGTTTGGTCATATCTGTTGGAGACCAGCACTAGATCTAGTAAGGAGCAACTGCTTTTAAGTCTCATAAGTCTGATAGATGAATAGGGCTGAGACTAGAAGGTATTGCTTATCTGGGATATCATTAATACTGTACAATGGCACTCCTATGGAGATCAGATTCTCCACCTCTCTGCTCGCTTTTAGGAAATTACTGAAAATATAATTATTCTGGAAGGCATATTTTATGCTTTTGTTCTTGCTTGTTATTTTTCTGTCTTCTTTGGGGTTAAAAGTTAAAGGATTCTGTATGGGTAGAAACTGTGTGCCAAATAAAATAAATTCTTTATGGAATAGAATACTTTATTGATATTGGTATGCCATTTGTTGATAAATAATGTAGATTATTGTAGATGTATTGAAATTATTACACAGATTTATTCCTTGTGGCCACATTCAAGCCTCTTTCTCTCCTATTTCCATACCCCTCCCCTCCCCATGTGTATGTGTAATATATGAACTTTGAAATACAAAGGCCACAGAATACTGTAAAGTAAGATTATGAGTTTTCTCTGGGTAGTTCAACAGACCAGGAGTTTTACTGGGTCTTCAAAATGCTGTACATCATTTGTCAGGATTACTTACCACAATTCCCCTATGGGCCATGAGAATTGCAAAATTAGTTAGGTGGCTACATGCACACGTGGTATGTGTTTTATTTGTGTCAATCAGCTTGCAGCCTTGAGTTGACCAATATCCCATCATAGTCCGCTCTGAATAGTTCCAGAAGGAGCAATTAGCATTGAAATAATTGTTGGGCTGTGAGACATCAGGATGGGGGGAAAAAATTACAATTATATGCATATGAATGCTTCCTAAAGACAGTTTATTTAAATCTAATACAACCCTTTGTACCGTAGCAAATTAAGCTGACACAGGAGAAAAGGTATATAGTTTGTGCCAAAATAAAATAATAAAAGAAATAACTAACAGACTGTGTAGGACAAACTAGCGATTTAATTATAGGCATGCTGTACCATGGGCATTACTGAGAATTTAAATTCCTGCAACTAAAATTCTCTTATTTGTAGTTTGATGCTTATATTGATGACTTGTGGCTACTTTATTTCCAACTTTTAGCAGTAGAAACAGGTAAATTTATTTAAAACAGACTTCTTGGATAATTTAGAATTTAGCAGTCTCAATTTTAATCAGTTGTAAAAGAACAGAAGAGATATGTCAGCCCAGATTAAATTGCATTGAAAACATCTCAGAAAAATGAAAGGGAATATTTTTTTTTCTTTTGATTGGCTTTTCCAATCTATTGCTTTAGGTAAATGGAAAATCCCAACCTGGACGCTCAACAGCATTTTGACATGACCTGCAGAGTCTTTTAAGAGTCAGCTGAGACAGTGTCACTTGATTCAAAGAAAAGAAGTTTGCCCTATTGAAGAAAACCTACTTGAGTGATTGGTTAATGGGCTCCAGAAGATAGTACAGAATTAGAGCAAAATGCCCTAAGTGCGATTTAAATTTTGCTACATTAAGCAAGCAAAATTGTAAAAGCCCGTGTTTTCTGCCCTGCTGCTAAGGTAAGAGTTAATTTTCACTTAGGAACAAATTAGAGGCATTTACATTTTCATGTTGATTACTGAATTAGCTTTCATTAAGAATACACTTAAGTTCTAATAATCACTGAACCAGGCTCATTTAATTTTATGTTCACAGACTTAAATAAACCTATGCCTCTGACCTTCCGATATTTAAAATTCAAATGGAAAGATCACCTCCCCCCCCCAATCCGCTCTTTGCTCTTGCTGATTTTATGACCTTCCCATTAATTCATTTCCATAACTTACATCGATGTGTGCCAGGGTGAAAAGAACGGGATCGGTCAAATAGACACGACTGGACTCCTTGTTGATGGAGGCGGCAATGACATCAGAGTTCACAGCGATGGTACTGTTCCTGCCAGCAAACTCAGTTCCTAGCTTGATGGTTGCATTTTCGGTACTAAGAAACCGGCCCAAGCTTTTGTAAATGATGAACACCAGCTTTGCTAACCCTGGAAACAGAAACCTTCCATTATATTGATATGAAAGTGCACCCAGTTCCACAGCCTTTTCCACCTTAGCTTCCTAACCACAATATCTGTACTGAGGAATCATGGATTCCAAAGAAAAAATGGCAGCCAAAAGGCACAAAGGCTGATCCATTTTTAATTCCGTCAAGGGGGGCTTTAATTCAAGAGGTGGTAAAGGCTCCTATCAGGGTTGAAAATAATTCATTTGATCAAGACATACCATTTCTGCTGTTCTGCTTCACAGTATTCGAAGAGAGCTGGATGGAGTTGCCGCCAGCATTGCCCTGAGGAAATTTTAAGTCCTGCACTTGCCCTTCTGTGCTGAGTACTGCAACTTCCAGGACTGGGTTGAACACAATAAAAAGTATATTATTATTATTATTATTATTATTATTATTATTATTATTATTATTATCATCATCATCATCATCATCATCATCATCATCATCATCATCATCATTTTTATTCATTACACATGAAACTCAGTCAACTGAACATTTAAAAATGTATCACAAATATTATTGACTGGCACTGATGGTTGATATAGGTATGCTGCCAGCATCCTAGGTATCGACCAAGTATCCTAGGATGATGATGATTTAAATTAAAATCATCTGTCCATCTCATTGTCAAGTGAAAAAAAATGTGGTCAAATTTGCCTGGGTTTTTTGGGAGTGTGTTGGACAGTCTTTGTTTATACAGGACAGATTCAGATATACATGAATTGTTTCAGCTTCATGGAATACTTTTTCTTTAAAGTTTAATTAACTTGAATGCAGATTCCATGAAAAGAACGGTTCAGAAGACATGACATGCCAACCTGCATGTTTAAAAGATATCATTTTAAAAATCTGAGTGCTGTATTTTAATTGGAAGAAATATGTGACTATGAGACTGATGCAGTTGTTTTATATGCATTTTTACGATATGCATTCTACCAGCAGTTTAAAAAACAAATATCTTAGTAACAGGTAGATATTGTAGTATAGTAATTAAATAACTTGGACAAAGGTAAGAAGCACCCTGTTAAAATTTTCACTCCATGCACCAGATAACCCAGTATGGTCTAAACTGCTTCACATGATTGTATTAAAAGTATGGAAGCACAACAATGTAGATTACTTTGAGTTTCTTCAAAGAATGGAAGGATAATATTTAATTTAAAAAAAAAAAACACTAAAGGAATATACTTAAAATCTGATAAGAGTACAATTTATTATAAAGGTTTCTACACCCACACAAAATGTGCTATTAATTGAGGTCAACTAATGTCCCCCACAGAGACTTGTGAAAAATTTAGCAGGGCTATTTTATTGAACTATGCATGGTTTATTACTTCTTTCTTTCCTTCACACATACTCACAGAGTATAATGTTCTGAATTTAATACCTTGGTATTTTCACTAATTAAATGGGAAGCAAGCAAGCAGAAGCATCCCGCTGAGAGAGAAAGAGAGACTGTGAATGTCAAGGATAGGCAAATTATGAAGGCAGCATTGTGCCAACATAAGGTCCACCCATTCTTGGAATGCTATGTTGGACACTCTTTCATCATTTGATTACAATGGTGCAATCCAATGATGAAAGCACCACAACCTGTGGATGCTGAAGAAGGGAAGGTATAAGTGCATTATCATCTCAAGTAAGCAAGGTAAATTAACATGCAGAAAAAACTTCCCTGTACAGGTTCCCAGGCTGGACAAAAGTTACTGCTATGTAAGTAAGGTATTATAGAAGTCATGTCTCCTGCTGGATCAGGTTTCTACATGCACCTGCTGAATTGACTAATTTATGACCATCCTGACTAGTTAAGCAATAGCTAATTGGAACAGAATCTGGGGCATCTCATTCTTATCCAAGATAATTGTGCCAAGCATCATTAATGATGAAATGCACTCAAACTTCCTGTTAAGTTTCAAACAATTTATGTGTGGGTCATTTTAATGCTGAATTCATTTATTATGGAAGGACATACAACTGTTTACATAAATTCAGTGAATTCAGTATTGAGAAAATGTGTTGGTAAAACACAAGAGATAGTTGGTAAAACTAAAGAACACATGCTATTGAATCTAGGGAAGAAAACTTTGATACATATTTAGGTATGCAGTATTAAGTTCCTTAATACAGCACTAGGTATCTGTAAACTGTTTCATTTTCACCAGCAGAAACACAGATACTTTCACTCATAAATCCAAGCAACAAGTTTTTTTCAGCAATTAATTAGATATTTGGTCCCTAGAGCTTGATTCAATACATTTCTTAATATTTATAAAATGGAAGAATTGTTAAGGATTTACGTTTACACAGAAAGATGTTTAACTGTAAGTAACAAACATAGGAAAAAGATATTTGTATGTCTCTAAAAAGAAGTATTTTCCTTCTTCTCAGCATTTAAATTATACATTGTGCTAGAAGTGTCAGTAACTATTTTGCAGTTTATGAAACATGACTATTTTGTATATTGGAGATACAGCTCACTGAATGTATTTTCACCTTGGGTGAAATTACATTGCATTTAATAAAAACAGTCCTTACACTGTGCGGTCAAAATTGGCTTGTATTGTCATCAAAAGTGAATAAAATTCAGTATGAAATTATAATAAATAATGGGAAAAGAATTTCCAGGTCAAGTATCTCAATTACTTACATAGATACACAAACATGATTTTTTAATCAGCCCTTATAAAAACCCCATCACAGATTAGTACTATTATCTTGATACTTCACAGAATGGGATATGGTTAAGATAAAAATTATTTGCTTAAATTTCTGTAATGATGATTTCAGTAAAGAAAAAACCTAACTAAAAATGTTTTGCTTAGCTGCTATTATAAGCAGTGGTGGGATTCAAGTAATTTAACAACCGGTTCTCTGCCCTAATGACCAGCTGGGTAGGAATGGCTCGATGGTCATGTGACCTTGTGGGCGTGGCCAACTCAATGTCACTCATGTCGATGGGCGCTTTGCCTTAGCTGTTACAATGTAATAAGGGTTAACCAGAGAGGCAGTTTCTGTAAGCAGGGCAATAAAGATTAGGCTAGAAACAACACCCTTCCTGCCTTCCTTACAGGATTAGCCCTGTAAAGTGGAAAACAACAAAATAATATTTCTCCCGAATAGGTGTGAACTGGCTGAATCCCACCGATTATAAGACCTACATTGTCTGGTACATAACAGTTCCTCTGCAACTGTTTCTAGTCAGTGGTGATAGGGAGGAGAGGTCTGGCCTTTGGCCCCTGCTTTGTGGGGTTCTGCACAGTTCAGCAATTTCTTTGCTTCTGTTCAACATCTGCATGAAGCCACTGGATAAGGTTATCCATTACAATTATGGTGATATATCTTATGGTGAATTAAGTGATGCCATCACGGTGGCACAGTGGTTAGAATGCAGTATTGCAGGCTAATTCTGCTGCCAGCAGTTAAGCAGTTCTATTCTCATTGGCTCAAGGTTGCCTCCATCCTTCCGACATTGGTAAAGTGAGGTCCCAGATTGTTGGGGGCAATATGCTGACTCTGTAACCACTCAGAGAGGGCTGTTAAGCACTGTGAAGTGAATATGAGTCTAGTGTTATTGCTATTGCCAGTGCCTCCATCTTGCAATGTTAAAGAGCTCAATAGGGAGCAATGGGATGAAATTGAACCCTGGTGTGATGGAATGACTTTGGGCTTGTTCTTTGAGTGGTGCCATTTTTGTCTTGGACAAGGTTGCATAGCCCCAGATGGACTCAGTGCATAATCTGCAGGTTTTCCTGGATTTTTGAGTCCTGTTTAAGGAGCAAGTGGCAGTTGTGGCCAGGAAGGTGTTCGTGCAATGGTTGAATGTTGAAATGAGAGTGGAGGTGTATTGGATTGTAAATTTGGGGTTTTATTCTGTAAGCTTCTGGAGAGAGTATGAACGAGTTGGGTGGTCATATAAATGTCATACATAAATAAATACAATTCTTCTATTTCTACCTTTTAAAATATGAATAGAATAATTACTACCTGCGCAAATATAATTTTCCAGCAAACATAGTATATATGACTATTTCCAAGCCATTATTTTAGCATGTTGTTCCTTTAATTTACAGGATCAGGCATCATTCTGAAATGCAAAGACTTACCTATGTGATCTGTAGGCATAGCGACTCTTGTTGGTTCTAAAAGATTATCGGCCAAGACAAAAGCTCCTTCTTCTAATGTATCAAGTAACATTGTTGCAGCATGAGCTTGTTCAGAAGAATTCATATCTTTCCAAGATTCCAGAGCTTCAGCCCTAAGGAGGTTGTCCACGGTGTCAACGATTGCCTGCATTCATTAGAAAAATATTAGGCTCTATAGCTTTAGGCAGCAGAAGAAAGTTCCTAATACGATCAGATGGCAATTGCAATATTTAACTGCCAATGTGATTTACAGTGATTTAAAGACAAAAAAAGCTACTGCTTTGCTTCAGAACAAAGAAGATCAGCACAACATGCCTTAGAGCAAGTATGAAAAAGAACTTAACATACTGAAGAATGCAAAAAGGCAAATACTCATGGCTTTAATTTGGAAACCGCAGTGTCAATCCAAAGTTTCAAGGGGCTTTGAGGCATGCATGAATCTGCAGGAGTTTTTCAAGTAATTAGGAAGTGAAGAATGTTAGATATTGGCCTAATCCCATAAATGTAGCCATATGTGTATGAAACATATGACAGCCAGCCTGATATATAGCCAGGGTGTTGGATTATGATGGGGGACATTCATGCTTAAATTCAGCCTTACTGGGTTGATTTTAAACCTATCGCCTTCATTTAATCCAACCTACTCCATAGGATTATTGTTTAAGAAAAATTTGAGAGAAAAATTGAGCTTCTGGTGGCTACAATCATGATATAAACTAACTGCCCAACCAAATAAATAAGCAATCATAGAATAATATAAAATTAAATGTGTGGTAGAGGATCCAAAGTGACTGGACTGGACTCTGATGATCAAATCATGGTTTAACGAACCAGAATAGGAATGATACTAAGAGAATAATATTCTCTCAGTATCTTTAGATAGCAGTTTCTTTAGAATTCTAGTCAACTGCTATCTAGTAGCTTTGGCTATCATTTAGAAATGGCTTCAAATCTGTCTTGTATGGAAAGCCCTGTCTATAGTCCTAGTTTGCATGTAATGGGAAATATGTTAGGATTAGGGATTTTTAGTTTGTCTGTAACTCCTATGAAGAGCAGAATGAAACAGCAGTAAATGTGGATTCCTGTTGGTAAAGCCAGGATGTAAGCAGCTTACAGCAGCCTGTACATTCCCATAGCAAAATAATAATAAATAAAATCACATCCACTGACAAGTCAATTGAAGGGAAACTCTTAAATTAATGGCTAATGTAGTCCCACAATTGAGCAGGCTCTGCACTGCTGAGCCATCATGCCTATTTTGTCTCATTTACCTAGTTACATATATCATTAAGCGCAGACATAATGTGGTTGATCAATTTCAAAAATGATGGAAATGAGAGCAGGCTGCACTACATGAACAAAAGCAATGTCAGATCCAGAACTTTGTGCTCTATGTTTGAATGGATAGGGAAAGCCGTATGGACTATTGTCTGGAGTAAAATTAATTAGCCTAATCCATTTTAATATCCTCTTTATGATTGCATGGTGAGCCTCCCCAATGGCAGGTGGAAGATAGTTTTGACTGATATGAAAAGATTTTCTTCTTCTTTTCTTTAATGAGAAGCACAAGAGTCAACTGCACATGCTGATACCACTTCAACCACTGCAGAGTGTGGAACAGAAATTGGTCTGTGGAGGCCGGAGTCATTAATCACCAAGAAATATGAATTGGAGCCATTGATTTGAACTAGTGAATCCTCTGCCAAAGAGTGAGAACTTGCCTTATTTGCTTAGCACTAGCTAGATTTTGATTAGTAATTTGGGGAGATTTTGTGAATCTTATCCATTTGCGACCTGCTAAAACCATCCCCGTCAGAAATTGAGGTTGTGGTGCACTTAGGGCTCATTGGTGACACATGTTATGTCAATTATGTATGTGTATGTCTGTTTTAAGCCCTTTTGCCTGATGCTTCATTTTTAATGTCATCTGACTTGCTGTTTTTCTCCAGTTGTATGCAAATAGTCAGCTCTGTAACAACACTTGTCAGAAGGTGGGAATGTATATGTGTAGAGAAGGGGCAGAATAATCCCTAAGATCACAATTGTTATAAGCCTAAGCATTTTTGAGACCCTTTTGATTTCTGAGGAGTTAAGCAGGAGATTAATTTTGTTCATAGAAGTCAATGAGAATTATCGATGCCTCCCAATTACACAGTCACTGCTGTTACAAATACGGTCACACTTTAGATTTGACCATGAAATTTATCTTTTAAAGTAAACTGCACTTTTTGCTTAGCTTCGCATTCCTTTTCCTTCTTATTTTTTTGCCTTTTTTAAAAAAAGTCAGTTATGGACACGTTCATGCAGTTTTGCAGGTAATTTTTTTTGGGAAATGGTTTCCCATTGCCTTCTCTCTAGGACTGATAAAAAGTAGTTGTCACCTAGCTGATACCTGTGCCTAAGATAGAACTAAAATTCTACTTCTTCCCACTTCTTGTCCAGTGCTTTAACCACTAGACCAGATACATTAAGTACCCCAGTTAAGAAAGCTGAATCATAAATTGGTTAAGAATTGACTTGCTCCCCTAGTTCACTTTTTCTTAATGTTAAGTTTCAATCTTTACCAACACTGAATATATATATATGTGTGTGTGTGTGTGTGTGTGTGTGTGTGTGTGTGTGTGTGTTTTCTGAGGTTTTGGCGGGTGTTTGTATGTAGGTCTTATATAATGGATCTACTCTAGCGATCTCTTTTGGAATGCAACAATCACTATTGGCTTTAATAATATCAACTATTATAGCCCAATATACATAATGTCGGCAATTATACACAATTATAGCTAAAATGTGAAAAAATAAGGAAGTCCATGCAAGCTGCATTGCCAATATACCCACACATTCTATTAGTTTAAGATTGAATATCATACTCCTATTTATGATCAGAATGTACTTTAAGTTAAAGGCACTAATCTCCTTTCAAATTTAAATGCTAAAGTTATAAATAACTCCAAAACTGTATTTCTTCCAGCACTAGATGGGAAGGCCAGCTGGGAGTAGGACTTGTTTGTATATGTTTCTTACGTTCCCACTGTGTTTCTATTCATGTCTATACCTTACCTATAACCTGGGTTAAAGTGAATTAAGATTCACATTAATCTAGGCCTGCTTTTCTTTAATCCCCAGGAACTTGCATCAATTTAACCTGAGTAAGTCTAAACAAAGTTAGCACTGCTGGAGATGTAATACTAATGATGTTCAGCTGTCCCTTTTGAGAGTAATGGATTTATAGATTCAGTGGAAATGGGGTAGAAAGTGAATTAATCTTGAACAGTATAATTATTCTTAAGCAATTTGGAGGGTTACGATTGTAATAACTTAACAGTTTCATAAAAAATGCCTTTGCTCTATTATAGGCAGATTCAATTTAAACTTGCATTTCTTTTTGTAATACTAATTGGAAATTCTATAATTAAAACTGCCATGCTGTTTTTCCACCCCCAAAATACCATCAGTCAGATGTATGATGTGTAGATATTGGCATGAACAAGAATGTTCACTGCCAGATACAGGTAGTCCTGGATTTACAATCATTTTACAATGGTCCAAAGTTACAACGGCCTTTGGAAAAGTGAATTATGACCTATACGTGCAAGTTACATGACTGCGATTCAGGTGCTTGGCAACCAGTTTGCATTTATGACTGACTGCAGCATTCTGCAGTTACATGAATACGATTTGTAACCCTTTTTTTTTTTGCCAATTTCTGGCAAAAAAAAAAAAAATGCCTATTAGGGAAGCAGGATTCACTTAACAACCATATGATTTGCTACCGACCCTGGTAAAAATTATTGTAAAATCAGGCCCTCCTTGACTTGACATAACAACTTAACGTCCGCTCCCAATTGTGGTTGCAAGTCAAGAATTACCTATATTTAAGTTTTGAACTATTTACTGCTCTAGAAAACAGGATGATTTTCCAGTAACAGCAGTTGTTACAGAAAAATGTGTATAAAATCACACAAATAGTTATTGTTTTGAATTCAATAGTACATTAGAAAGATAAAAAGAGGAGGTGTTAGTGCAGAAAGACAAGGTGGGAATCATGTGACATTCTTGCTCCATACGGTCTAGTGAAGCAAATGGGTACGTGAAGTGGCATCCATCTGTGGATTTTGCTTGCTATGATTAAACAGTGTGTGATATGCAGAACTACATATATAAAACATCTGGGTTCAAAGCAAAATACTGAGGAAACAAACCTACTGCTATCTTGGATTTAGTTTAATCCCCATTCCCAACCTTGTATTTTTTTACACAGAGTATGGAAGAAAATGAACTATTGATTATTGGCTTCTTACTCTCAGAAATGGGATCTGTGCAAACATAACACTCTGCATAGGGGCTGTGGAGGGATACAATATACATATTATCCAAATACTGAAATACAAAGGATCATGCAGCAAGAGCAGAAACGTAGCAGCAGGGAGAAAGCAAGGTGACAGGAGAGATACCTTAAGGTAAGCCCTGCATGTCTTCTCTCGCTTTTGGAGCTTGTTAGTAAGTCAGGGGGAAAAAAAATCAGAGGTTAGACACAAAAAAAGTGCAGTAGAAATGCTACTATTTAATGATTGTTGACCACTTACGTGTAAACTCAAGAAATATTTTTGCTGATATAATAATCATAGTGTGTTTAATTATTCTCAATCAATGTGCTGTTTTTAGGAAGCCTAATGAAAGGGAGGTTTTAATAAATTATGGGTTAATCAATTCCTTGGTATATTCAAATATTTCTAGGACCTTAATTCATTTTAGGAAGGGACTGAGACCAAATGATTATAGCAAAACAGAAATATCTTCTTCCCAACTTTCTTCCACCCCAATGTTATAAAGATAAAATGAATAAAACTGCCCAGTGGGGCAAGTTCTCTTCTTACTCTTTATAGTGAAACAATTTGTTGCTTGTGAAAATGTGCTATAACTTCAACATCCACATACCTATCTAGATTTGTTACTTTCGTTCTTAAATTCCTAAACCTTCCTTACTTCAGGAGTAAAACAAGCAGATATTGGGCATTTCTGGAAACAAACAAGTCACAAGGCAAACATGTTTTAGAACTTGAGAAATCTGATTCAGTCTTTATCTACCTTGTTGTAACTCCGCCCTGCAGAGTCCTTCTCATTGGGCTTCAAATCTTGCAGCTGAGCATCAAGGATGTCTACCAACTGTTCCATCAGTCTGACTGATGAACTCACATCACCAGCAAAAATTGGTCCTTTGGTGTGTTTAGCCAATTCATTGGCAAGGTTAGCAGCATTTTCTCCACTTCTGATCTGGAATGGCAATTGAAAGGCAAATTAATTTAAGCAACCAAACAGAAAACAGTCCACCATCTATAGATTCTTCCAGTTAAGAAGAATCTATTAAGGCGTCTCTTGTTTTACTGGTTGTTTTTGTGAGCACAAAAAAATTAACAATAATTTCAACTTTTAATTTAAAACGATTTAAAAGAATACCTAAACACCAATAGGGACAAACCCTAGGCAAATATTCCAACTCTCAGACTTGACCTACATTATTACATTTCACCCTAATTTGTATGGAAAATACAATATTCACTCCAAGAATTTACAAGAAATTTTTCTATTTGAATATTTTTTTTTAAAAAAAGACTTTTTAAGTAGGATTGAATATTTCTGGAAGATACCCGAGGGTTTGGGTCAATAAGGGAAGATGGTGTTTGGCAGCATTTGTAACATTGCTTTAGCATGCTGGACTGTGACCATAATAAATATTTGATTTGAGCAATGCTTTGAAGAGCCCCAGAAATGTGAAAGACAATATCTGTGCATGGGTCGGTATAGATATATTTTTTTTAATTTTCATTTTCTTGTGTGGCCAGAATTTGAAGATTAGGATAGGATGTTAAAAACTATGAAACAAATAAAATCAATTATTCTTCAACTACTGTGTTTTGGTGTCTAAAAGCATTCTCCATCTTCACATAAACAAAGATAAGAAAACTGTACTAACTTGAAGTGAAGAAAAATGCTGTGGCAGCAACAAATAGTACCATTATTGAGGAGCTAGGTATGATAGGCTTTTGTGGGGAGAAAAACCTTGTTGAGCAGTGGACAATAAGGCTTTACTGACTGCCTAATTACAGGGCAGACATGAGAAAACCTTGGCATGCAGGCTACAACTGCCCCCTACATCTACCAATTATCTCTAGGTAAGATGCCAAAACTCAACAGCAAAACATTCAGGGATATGGTTTTGGATTATAGAAATGGTTTATGGATCTTAAGGGTGGGGAATGGAATGGATTTTATTCTCTCTGAGATTTCTCATTGCCTTTCTAAGAACTTTAAAAGAGCAGAATACATTTCCCCCATCTCTTCTGGTGTCATCACATATTACAAGATATTCTCCCACAACCTCTGGAACATCGAAAGGCTGCAATGCAGATCCTAACACTTCAAGTATTGCTCATCTCTAATGGAAGGCAATAGAAAAATGGCAGATTATAAAATAATAATAAATATGACACATGCATCTTTTTCTTCCTAGGCATATGAAAAACATTCTTTTGTGTCTCTTCGGGTCATAACAATTAAACTCATGGAACATCCAACTAAACATGACCTTTATACATCACCTATAAAAGCAAGAATGACTGTGGGTGGACCTAATGCTATCAGATCTGTTCTGAGGAAGTCCAAAGAACCACTGGAATTCAGAAAGCCTAATTGTTTCTTTCCATCTAGAGGTTGGTAACAATTTTGCATCCTTGATCTGATAAGCTCAGATAGGCTCCAAGATCTATCCTGAGAGCAATGCAATTCTCATTATTCCTAACACCTGTGATGAACTAAACATTCATCTACAAATTCTCAGATTAGGTATGCTATCATATTAATGTATTATTCCAACCCACCTTCTGGGCCAGCTGGTTTACCCAGTGTGAAGTACAGTTGCTAAGATCAGGACCCTTAGGGTTCCATGTTCCTGTGGAAATCATGCAGAGGTATGAAGCTGTTCCTATAAAAAATACCAAAAAAATGTGTTTATATAATTATAAACTTTTCTTTTCCCTTTTTTCAATCTTCCATATACCTTCGTAACCTGGAAAAAAAAATCAGACTGAGATTTAATATATATTCAACTTTTAATGATTAAAACAATGCTATCTGAGGATGAGATAAAAAAAATACAGGATACTAATAGAAAACTAAAGCCGTGCTAATAATATTGGGTTAAAATGTCAGAGTTTCTGGAAAATCAATAAAAAAATGAATGGTTGCTGTTTTCTTCTTTCTCCTGGAATTAATCAAAATAGAGTTCATGAGAAAGATGTAAGAAAGTTTTGTAACTGTGTTTCTGCTCAACGCACCTCACAAAGTTGTTGTTATGGGGAAAATTAGAGGAAGAAGGAGTATTAGGTATGTTTGCTGCCTTGAGTTATTTATAAAATAATAATTTATAGGTGGAATATAAATAAATAAATCTGAAACAATAGAAAATGAGCTATAATTCCAATGCCCTCTAGAGCTTAAAACCTGAAGAAGTCATATTCTCCTAAGAAAGAAAAATCAAATGAAATATAGTTTAAGAGTAGTCAGCAAGGACAAAAAAAACAAAAAACAGTTCAAGATAGATTTTGTCAAACATCTTATTTGTTTTTAAAAACTTACCACGGGTTCCTTTGGGGCAGGGACGTTCCACCATTATTCCCCTTTGAGTCTGAGGCCAGCTAATCCCCCGGGCCACATCTGGTTCACAGAATCTCTCGGGCAGAGGGAAAAAACTTGTAACAGGAGGAATTTTCGTTGTAGAAACTGCTGGTGGTGACTTGGGACCTCTACTATCTTCTTTGGTTCCCGCAGCCATAGTTGTGCTAACAGCAACTTTGTGTGGGGTAGTGCTTGTGGTAGATACAGTTGTTTTGAATAGCTCTGTGGATGGAGTTATTGTCTCTGCTGTGGTAGGCACTGTAAAGGAAAAAGTAATGTTACTCTTTGCCTTTTAAATTCAATATACTATTTTTAGGGTTTGATATGTTATCTACACACTGTCCAGAGCACCTTGTGAGGGAGATAGGCAGATTTTAAGTTTGATAAATAAATAAAGAAAATAAAATGTTATATGGAGGAAGAATGAATAAGAACAGTTGTGAAACATTCTCTCCTTCAGAGAGTATTGCCAGATAATCAGATGAAAATATATAGTAAGAATTAAGAATATTAATAAAGATGAACACATAATCCATACTTAGATGCAATCCATGGCTGTGTCTGCACGTATCTCTTATTTCTTGAATACAAAATTGATAGATATATTTCTAAAGCTTGGGAGGCAGTAGTACCAAATTGTCTACTCATAACAGATACATTTAATAAAAGATCGTAAAATTATATTGATTGAAGGGATAAAATCAATGTTCACATTGGAAAAAGGCAAAATAAACAAGGAAACCCTACAACAGAGGGACAGGTTATAAATAACTAGGTTGTTTAACAACAACAACAAAAAATCTCCAAAAAAAGAAAGCACCCTAGTTGATGTCACTCACTCTGTCACTTGAAGAAAGATAATTAGTGTAACATCTTGCCGCCCGGCAGACATTCTTGCTTCAGAGATTTCTAGCACACCTGATTAGATCCAAATTGGGGCAGGGAGGAATTGGGAGACTGGAACGTTGCATGCTTGTGTTATCTCACTATTTCGACATCTCAGACTTAAACATCCCTTTCTAATAAAGCAAGAACTAATTTAAACCAACTACACTGCCTAGTCATCTGAGAAAACTAGTTTTCAACAAGTAACGTCTCTGTTAGCTCCTAGAATTCTTCATTTTATCAATTTGTCCAGAAATAATCAGGGTAACTGTTCCAAGTTCCAAGCTATTTTCAATAGAATTCAAGCTACTTTGGATCTTTGTAAAGGATGCGAATACCTGCCAACACTTAAGAATTCAAAAAAGGAGTCATGGTTGGTCACACAGTCAGCCAGATGTTTAGAGTAGATGATGATGAGCACTATTATTAAATACATAAAAATATGAAATCACAGCTGCCAGTTCTCTAGCTGGGATTGGCCTTCATGTACACTGAGTTCTTCCCAAGAATCTAAGATGTTTTACACGGTTAAGAGCTATTCCTATCCATTATTATACTGTATAGAGAGTTTTATATCTCATTCCCATTTCAAAAATAAAGCTATGGAAGGGATGAGGCCCAGCTATATTTTCTGGAAAGAATAAATAGGTGGAGATAGAGGATGCTTCTTGAAATATATCCTAGTGAATCTCTGTGTCTTTGCTTCCAGTTAAGAAAAAAAAAATATTTCCTAGAAACGTAGTATATAGGTGGAAAAGAGGGTGCATCTTGAAATATATCCTAATGAATTTCTGTTTCTTTGCTTCCATTTAAGAAAAAAATAATAACTTAAACTAAACTTGATTTGGTATAACTCCATAGTCCTTACATCTAAATAATTGGATATTTTTACTTCTTCATGCAGGCCAATAAAAATGAAGCAAGAGAAAAGAAAGCAAAATTCTTTCACTAAACCTCATACATTCTTTTTTTTAAAAAAAAACTGTTGTATTTATTAATCTACTATAGTGTTTTTCAGTTATAAGCTATAAATGACATTTATAAAAATGATAATGATGCTCATAACAACAAGGGAATAAGTGCATCTTGAAAAGGGATTTGAAAACTTCAAGGCTCCAGAGAATGGCAATTTTCTCAAGGGAGGGGGAGAGAATAAAATCATTTGTTGCTTCCCAGTGCTGGTCAGAATACAGACATTTGAATTTCTAAACAGTGATGGAGATTTGGAATCTATTTCTAGTTGACTTATTTTCTGAATCAAGATCTACTAAAATGTGTTATAATCTCTAGAAGCTCTCTAAAAATATCTCTAGAAAAAACCTGACAGGTTTGCTAGGCAATTCACAATAACAACTTCAAAGGAAAACATTGTTACTCATTTTTAAAATGATCAGGATTAGATTTCTAGGATTAGATTTTAAAATTTAAATTAAATGCTTATGTAGAAATAAGGGTTGTACCAAATCCCTCCAAAATGCCATCTTGTGTAACTGATTTAATCTATTTTATTAACATTTTGGATTGGCTATGTAATTCTTTGGATTGGCAATGTAATTCTTTTTTTTCCCCTTGGTGTTATTCACTGAGAATAATTATTAAGTTTGATGTCTATAGCTATTGATTTTAACTTTAAAATGAGTCACAGGAAAAAAATATATGAAAATATAAAAAATAACATCTCTGTAATAACATGAACACTTCAAAACTCTAACCAATGAATTAAATAATTTGTGGTAGGAGCTCTAGAGTATCAGCTCAATTTAATGCTCTGCAATTAGATGCAGCTTCTATATTACTATGCTTGGAATGTAACATTGCTATATTAATCTATTACACAGTATTTACATATATATTGACTTGTTTTATAATTTGATATACTAACATGTTTATGGTTTACACCGTAAGTTATAAGATAATAAATAGTATAATACATAGAGTAAAAGTCATGAAAATTAACAATTAACTAAAAAAAAAATCTCTTCATTTTATCCCGATAACATCAATCCTCTCAAGATAGATTGCAATTTGAACCCACTCTTGGTCCAAAACCCCAAACATTACAACACATTGACTTAACAAAAAATAAAACAACTTGACTTTATATCCAGGTAAACCGGATCTGAATGTGTGGTTTTAAAGATGAAAGAGGGAAAAAAAGCCATTAAATTCTGTTTATGGTTTGATACACCTGTGGAGCAATGGGTCCAGCAATTCTGATTTTAAAAGATACGATGAATATTTTAAAACAGATAAACTCATGGGAAGCTTGTACAGATAGTCCTTGACTTACAATAGACCGTTCAAAGTTACAATGGTACTGAAATAAGTGACTTATGAATGTTTTCACACTTATGACTGTTGAAAGCATCCCCATGACAACTGATTCATAGTTATGATGGTTGCAGTGTCATTGCGGGGTCATGTGATCATATTTTGTGACTTTCTGACAAGCTAAATCAATAGAGAAAGCCAGATTCACTTAGCAACCATGTTACTAACTTAACAACTGAAGTGATTCACTTCATAACTGTGGCAACTGTGCCCGTAAAATGGGGCAAAACTCACTTAACAATTGTCTGGCTTAGCAACATAAATTTTGGGCTCAATTGTGGTCATAAGTCGAGGACTACTGTGTTTCCTTGAATATAAGACCCCATCTTATTTTTTCTTTTAACCTTGAAATAAGCGCTTGGCCTCATTGCTATGTGCTCAAAAGCCCAATTGGACTTATTATCAGGGGATGTCTTATTTTGGGGGAAACAAGGTACCAGTATTCAACTAGGATTCCTGCAGCTTTGCTTTTTGCACAGAGGCTTGGAAAACATGAAAAGGAATTCATGAAACTGAACGTTTCTATCCCTGAATTATCATTATTCAGTGTGGGAAGTGGGATCAACCATGGTATTTCCTGCATGAAATTAAGAATACCATCTGATTTTCAGGAAAGGAAGTCTCATTAGATCCATCACAGCTTATAAAAAATGTATGACAATTGTAAATAACAATTTCCCGGAAAGCTACAGAGAAGAAAAGGAAACAAGCAGCCAGTCATC